GATGCAGCACAGGGGCTCCGTGAATCCTGATGGGCAAGGGCTCAGGCGCCTCCAGAAGCAAGCCGGCCTCTAAGCTGCTGGAACCCACACAACCAAAACCCCAGCACTCTGGGAGGCTGAGGCACAAGGACCACACGTTCCAGCCCAACTTGTTGAGATTGTCTCAAAATAAATAGGATGGGAATGCACAATGCATAGGCCTTGGGTTTACTCCCCAGTACTGCAACAAATAAAATTTTAAAGTGAGCTGGGGAGGGCCAGGGATTTGGCTCAGTGTTCACCTGCCTCACAAGCACAAGGACCAGAGTTCCATCCCTGGTACCAAAAAAAAGAGCTGGGGCTATAGCTCAGTGTGAAGGCCCTCTTTCAATCTCAGTACTGCACAGAAGCCAGGTTATCTTCCCTGACCCTGAGGCCAGTGAATCTCTGGTCTGTCTCCAATAGTCATCTAAGGGCCACCAAAACCTGGGTACCTTCCACTTCGCTCCAGCTTCCCGCCCTAAACTCACACTTTTTATTTTTCAGCACAGAAGCTGTGATTTGCTCCTCTATGCTGGCCAGTCTGATTTCCCCATATCCCTTCTATTCATGCATCAAAAGTTTTGAGGCTGGGAGTGGCTCAACACATGTGCAGGGCCCAGAATTGGGGGGACTGAAACACAAAAGAGAAAACTTCTGTGGCTTCAAAGTTCATTCCTGGCTCAACAAAGAGAACATGAGAACTCCTTGGCGTAGTCTCACAGCTGTACTGGGAATCTAAGCCCTGCTTCAGTAAGCTGCCCTGTGTCTTCTGCCTGCGACAAGGCAGATTTGTAAGGAATTACAAAAGGCTTTTTTTAATTTTTTGAGACAAGGTCTCCCTAAGGCCCAGACTGTCCTCAAACTTGCCTCCCTCCTGCCTCAGCCTCCCAGATGCGCCCCGGTGCCCAGCAAGGCAGAACAAGATGTTAATGACAGGAACAGAGGAGCACAGCACATCAGAAGTCGGTGCCCAGGCAAGACACACTGGGTTTTCTACCTACTCACCATAGCCTTGTGTGAGCATCCTGACCTCCCTGGCCGAGGCATTTCATCCCCTAGTTCCTTCCGCAGCTGAAGGAGGAGGAGGATGCTGCACTGAAGGCCCTTTCCTCATGAGGCTGGCTCGCATCCCCACCAGTCCCAAGTGTGTCCTACCTGTCCAGGACACAACTGGCACAGAAGTGGTGATCTTCTAGTTTCTGGCCCTACGATGTTGGCAAGTGCTTGATGCAAGAAGCATTTTCTTCACCTGAGTTTTTCTTGGCATCCATGTCAGCAACCCAGTGCCCAGTCTACTGTAGCTCCAGCACTGCCCAGGCCATGCCTGATCCACACAGGCGCAGTCCCATCTGCCTCACTTCTGCCCCTGTTGCCCAGCCCACCCTCTGGGCAAGGACTGTTCCTTCACCCTTCCTGCTACACCAGGCGAAGCTCCAAGGAAAAAAGAGCCAAATCCAGGGTGCAGGTGCTTCTAGGCTAGTGATGGTGAGCCTGCAGCACGCCACAGCCAGCTGTTTATACCACTGAAATCTGTAAAAGGTTCACCATCACTGAAAGCTGTAAAAGTTTCACCATCACTGTAATCTAGGCCTGTGAGCTGCTGGGTGCAACGCTAATACAGCCCCAGATTCCTCTGTACTCCAGAGAAGGCAGTCATGACTTCCCGCCTTCTCCATGGAAAAGTCAGTGTTCAAAAATCTGCATTTCATTTTTTTTCCCCAGTGTGAGGAACTGAATCCAACCCAGTATCTTCACACTGACCTACATGCCTGCCTTATAGGTTCCCTAAGCTGCTAAATTGCCCAGGCTGGACTCAAACTTGAGATCCTCCTACCTGGGAATATAGAGTGCTGAGATTGCAAATCTGCACCACCAGGCCGTTTGCATTTTCTTATTTTTCTCACTCCTTCATTCTCTCATTCTTCCTTTCTTTCAGTAGTGGGTGCTGAATTCAGAGCCTTCCTGCTCAGCCACATCCCCAGCAATCTTTTTTTTTTCTTTTTTGGTAATGTGGATTGAACTCAGGACCTTATGCTTTCAAGGCAGGCAGCGAGCGGTACCACTGAGCTAAATCCCTGCCCCCCAGCAATCATCATCATCATCATCATCATCATCATCATCATTATTATTATTGCAATCTTATTTTTTATTTTGAGACTGGGTCTCACTAACTTGGCTGAGAGGAACAAGGAGAGGTGAGGTGCACCTTGCCAGCCTCAGAGGCAACTCTCCTGGGGCTGTCTCATCCCTCGGCCACATACCAGGTCCTGGGTGCCTGCTGACAGTAGAGCCTCTGCCTTCCGGCATTTGGGGAGGCCCAAGAAATGCTGCTTCTGCTGCCTCGCTGTGTGAACAGGCAGAGACCCACCCGGCACGCTGCAGTCCGGACTTGGGGTCAGGTAAGGCTTCCCTAGATTCACAAGTGAGGAAGTGGGCCAAGGCGAGAAGGGATGGCCTAAAGTCCCAAAGGGAGGTCTGCAAGTCGGCACGCTGGGACGCCACTCGGGGAGGCTGAGGCAGAGAACCGAAGTGTGAGCCCATCCTGGGCAATGTAGGGGCTTAATGCGACTGGCTCTCTACTATCACACTAGAAAGCACTGCCGCGGTTTAGACTTCGCATCCCCTCTCCTTGTTTTTTTGTTTTGTTTTGTTTTGTTTTTTCCAAGCGCTAAAATAGAACCCAGAGCCTGGAGCAGGCTGGGCAAGCGCCCCACCATTGAGACGCGCCCCAGCCCACATCTTAACCTTTATTCTTACAGCAACTAGTGAAGCGGACAGCCTCCCTGCGGGAAATAAGCAGTTGAAGGAAGTAAATATTGAGTGGAGCCACAAGCCAACTCGAAGCTCCAGAGCTCCAAAGGACTAGGTTAGGAGGAAGGATTCTGCGCGGCCGGCCAGAGGCAGGATGAAGCCGGGACCCGAGGGGACAGTTGGCGAGATCCGGGCCCCGACTCTGGACCTCGATCCCGCCCGCTCGGAAGCAGGGAGCTGCAGGGGCTGGGGGTAGGAAGCAGCCTCTGCCCAACCCCGCAGCCTCCTATCGGTTGCACACCCTGGGGTGGGGCTTCTTTGGGAGGCCGATGGCCTTGAACTCTATTGGGACTTGGAAACTTCGCCTGGGATGGACCAGAGGAGCCTGCGGGGTGGGAGCGGGCGCAGCTCCCCGTCTGAGTCCCGGCCCGCAGAGCCGACTGGGGGAAAGAGTCCGGCCCAGCGCCGGGCTGGAGCCCCAGTCTAGGAGGGCCGGGGCGGCCTGGGGTGGGGCTTCTTTGGGAGGCCGATGGCCTTGAACTCTATTGGGACTTGGAAACTTCGCCTGGGATGGACCAGAGGAGCCTGCGGGGTGGGAGCGGGCGCAGCTCCCCGTCTGAGTCCCGGCCCGCAGAGCCGACTGGGGGAAAGAGTCCGGCCCAGCGCCGGGCTGGAGCCCCAGTCTAGGAGGGCCGGGGCGGGG